CCCCTGGCTCGAAGGGAAGCAAACAAAGGAGGGACACACGAAATCATAAGGCTCAATAGGAAAAGGCTTTATTAAGCTCAAAAGTAAATCACTATAATAGAACAAAACACAACAGAAAAGATAATATTTCTCATTACGTCAGCATCATCAGTGTGTAAAGCGGGGTGCCTGGCTGCTGATGTAATGTGCTGTTGTAGCCATGTAAAAGTGCTCAAAACAATACAAATCAAACCAAACACAACCCAATATCCCAAGTCCAAGACTCCTTTGTCTCTACTAATATCTGTTTTTAAAGGAGCGTCTGAACCACAGCGGCAGGTGTAGGCAATGGACTGCAGATTGAGGTGAGTCGTAGGCGGAGCTACAAATCACCCAAATTCCAACGGGAACCGTCACATGAGTGTTTGGAAATGTAAACTGTTATTTCCTAGTAAGACACTAAAGCAAAAGATAGAAACTGTGTAACGTGGGATTTGGGTTTTGTTTCTGGTTTAGGTTTTCATGTATTTTATTTTGATATTTTGCCTTGTTTCATGGTTCTGTCCCTGTCATGTGTTCCTTGCCCCTCATGTGACCATAGGTGTGCTCAACTTCATGCAGCACTGCACAGACCGATCGGCAAGAGTAGCCGCTTGCAGTCGGGGGCGGAGTTGAAGACGGACATGTCAAGTCAGACACTTTCTACTCCCGGTAGTGATGCTCTCGCTGTGTTTGCATACTCTATCACAGATGAAGTGAATAAAATGCAATATTTGTCAAATACACAGACGTTTCAGAGACGTTTTCATGAGCAACAGAAACACTTTTTTTATACTGCTTAATACAGTACCATATAATAAATAAATTTCAACAAACATATACTATGTAAATACCAATAAAGTGGGGTAAATATGCTTTTATCAATGTTTTTTGATAAACGTGACTCAATATAACATTGCGACTACAGTAAAAAAAAAAAAAAAAAGCTTTAACTGTTCTAAAAACACAGATTTGTGAGCATTATTGGAATTGAAAAGGTTAGAATAAACCCGAAGCACACGTGATTGTTGTCATGCGGTGAATCTGGCCAATTGTGAAATAGCTGTGTCGTCATCAAAGCTCCTACAGCTGCTCTGGAGAAACTGCGCCGGCTGAGTTGGCTGTTCTTGAAACGTCCTCACGGTGCTTTGATGCCACACGAGACAGTGACGTGGCGTCGTCTCAAGTTGGACAAAATTTCTAACTGGCATGCACTGCTTCAAGTCAGATTGCGATCGATCTGCACAGTGTTGCATGAAGTCGAACACACCTCATGTCATGTGCTACTCTTGTCTGTGTGTCATGTTCTGATTAGTTGTCCTAGTCATGTGTCTTGTTTCTCATTGGTTGGTTTTGTCATTTGACCCTTATTGTTTGGTATTTATAGCCCTCATGTTGCCATTGTCTCTTGTCGAGTATTGTCCCTGTCACTGAAAAAAATGCTACTAAATTTTTTTAAGGTAAGTGGTTGCAAACAATTTATTTTAGCTACATTTAATTAAAAAAATATGTTGAAAGTTAGTCAAATAAATTTGTTTATTTAAATGTAGCTAAAATAAATTGATTGCAACCACTTACCTTAAAAAATTTTAGTAAATTCAATGAATCATTTTTTTCAGTGTACTTCTGTTGGTGAGTTCTTGTTTTTTGTTTATGCCAAGTCTGTTCATGCCATACCAAGTCAAGTCTATTTCAAGTCATGTCAAGTCAAGTCTTTGTTTATTGTTTGGTCACTTTTTATAGTTAAATAAAGCTGCACTGTGCTCGCCTCCAGTGGACTCTCTTAACAAACTGACTTAAAATATTTTTTTAGCTGGTGAAAATAATAGTGTTCTAATAATATTGGCCACCACTGTATTTATAGAATTTATATTTTTTCTTTTGTTTTCTTTTTCTTTTCTTTTCAGTATGTTTCTGTTATGAATAGTCCTGTCACCTCATAGCAAGTGTTTCCATAATACAAAGACATGCACATTTAACGAATTGTGGATTCTAAATTGTGCATATTTGAATGTGTTTCACACACATTGCTTGCTGGGATACATTCAGACACTTTTTTACATGTTCTGCTTTTTCTAGTATTCAAATGTCTAGCAGGGTTTCTCTCACCCACTCCAAACAAATGCACATTTTGATAAGTGCGTTTAAAGTTTTTGGGGGAGTTTGAGCTTGTAAAAAATGTGTGCTTTTCTCATCTCTATTCACAATTTCCTGGCAATTTGGATCAAGTGGTGTGTGGGGAGAGGCCTGAAAGTTTCAACCTGGAGAGCAGTACAGCTTTACTCTTTAAAAGCAAATACCTGTAGGCATTTTTTGATAATGAAAAGAGTTTGCAATATTTGTGTTCAGTATTACGGAGTTTGAATGTAAAAATACTAGTGCTGTCAAACGATTAATCGCGATTATTCGCATCCAAAATAAAAGTTTTTGTTTACATAATATATGTGTGTGTACTGTGTATATTTATTGTGTATATATAAACACACACACATGCATGTATATATTTAAGACAAATATGTTATGTTTATATATTAAATATATTTATATATAATATAAATTATATGAGTATAAATATATACATGCAAATACACTGCAAATATTTTCAAAATATATACTGTGTGTGTCTTTATATATACATAATAAATATACACAGCACACACACATATATTATGTAAACAAAAATTTTGGACTTTTACTTTTATGTAAACTTTTATTTTGGATGCAATTAATCGCGATTAATCGTTTGACAACACTAAAAAGTGTGTCCAGCTGAATTAATTTAGCATTTTGTAAGACAGGTATAAAAAAGCTTAGTTTACCACGGCAGTCGTCGCGTGACGGCCTCCTCATGTGAAGACCGAAGAGTGTAAAGACCATCGACTCTACCGTGCGACTCCACCGGGCAGGGACACCGGCAAAGGATAAGTATCGCTTTTTATTTCTCCTCTTTCCTACTACTTGTTTCGCTTCTGTTTCAGTTTTTATAACCATTTCTTACTATGTGTCAGTAAGTTGTTGTTATTTTAGCATGTGTGTTTGCCTCAGTGTTATTTTTTTAGGATTACTGATAAACAAATGTAGTTTGATTTGTATTAGTTATCTATTTCGCTTTGGATAAAAGCGTCTGCTAAATGACTAAATAAATAATAAAAAAAAATATATATAAAACTAATAAGATTTACTTTAAAATGACAAAGAAGAACATTAAATTGTTAGTATGGACATAAACCTTTAATATAATGAGCTACATTATTTAATTACAGATTATTTTTGTAATTTTACGTACATTTGTACATAATTTAAGAAAACATTATAAACATTATAAATAATACAGTAATTTTTTGTATAAAAAAATGAGAATTACTGTAATTTGTCAATAATGAAATAACACTTAAAATAACAGTCAACAGTTGTTAATTTACAGATACTGTTTGTAATTTTACAGAGTTTTGAACAATTTAATATAACAGAAAAAATACTGTAAAAAATAATACAGTAATTTTTCTGTATAAAAAGAAAAATTACTGTAATTTGTCTTTAATGATATAGTATCTAAAATATGTCAAGTTGTTAATTTGATATTTTTTGTAATTTTACTAAGTTTTGAATGTAATTTGAAATAACAGAAAACTACTGTAAAAAATGTAGTTATTTTCTGTCAATTAACAATTAATCTCCGAACACCTGACAACAATCAATAGGTGCGTAGGAGACAAAGACCAAAAAAGTGAAACTGAAAAACAAAAACAAATCCCGCACACTACCAGACTTATGCAAAAAGTATCAAAAATGTTTATTTACGACGTTTCGGTCGCATAACCTTCATCATGTTTGAAGATACCTGATGAAGGTCATGCGACCGAAACGTCTTAAATAAACGTTTTTGATACTTTTTGCATAAGTCTGGTAGTGTGCGGGATTTGTTTTTGTTTTTCAGAGTTATTTTCTGTAAAATTAGTTTTTTTTATTATTTTTTTTACAGTGCATTGTTTTCTGTTTGAATAAGTTTGTTGCAGTTATTTTCTTAATAAAACTGTTGGATTAAATATGTCACACTGCCTGTGCAACACATACACATACAGTTTTAATTACTTTGATCTGTGGAAAAATTATTTACTGTCAAGTAAAAGGTTTTATTCTGCTTTGATACCTGGTATTAGTGCATCCTTTCTGCAGTCATACAGCATCCCCAGCTGGAAGGGTCTCCCCAGAGCTGCAGTTTCAATAACATTCACTCCCACTGAATCCATACTGAAGTTAGGGCAGTCAAGAGGGAGAAACAGGAAACCAGTATTACTGTGACCAATCCTGAAAAACAAGCATATAAATTCAATCGTGGCCCTGTGGAACATATTAGGGCTGTACGATTAATCGAACGCGATTCGAAATCGTTCGCGATAATGACAGCTGTTTGCGTAGTTTGTCAGTGAACTAAGACTCTGTGTAGTAGCCTAAATGCTGCTCCATCTGAGAGCACGTGAAAATACCACATTTAATAACATGTTTTTGCTCCAAACTCACTTCATAACGTCAGTCGAGTGTTTGAAATAAATCCTTCAGTGAGATGATGTGGCTTCTTAAACAGAATAATTAAGGCACACAATATTTCATTGTATTCTAAGCAATGTCGATTAGCATTTCATTATAGATATACTTTATTATGATGGAAAGCAGTTAAATCTTCTGTTTATTCAGCTGCAGCGATAGGCATTTCTTGGATTTCTTCTTCGGGGCATATTTGGATTTTCAGTGCGAGAGCGCCCTCTGACCTTTGGATGGAGATTTACTGCTGA